ATTTGTATCCCCATTCTGCAAATTTTCGGATGAGGTAGCAAACCTCCATTCACAGTTACTCATACACTCTTTGTCACTGTTCTCTCTCACTCTCTTGTCCTCTCTCAGGCCCACACGCTCTCACACACACACACACACACACACACACACACACACACACACACACACACACACACACACACACACACACTTCCACACAAACCCGCTCAACCGGGGACGCTCTTGAGCACAAACATTGCAGATGTGTGCGTGTCGAGGTGTAAGAGCATTCCTTTTCGCCGTTTCAAAAAAAAAAAAAAAAGTGTGTGAAGATGAAGCCGCTTTTCTTTCTTCCCCTCATCAGATGCGAAGCTTTAATCAGTAAACCAGAGCAGACGGAGAGACAAAGCGCCGCACCCCCCACCCCCCACCCACCTCCTCACATCAGCTTGTTTCTTCAGCTGCTGTGAGGAAGAATCCATCAGCCCGATTCTGCCCTCGGTCGGCGTCGTGATCATTACAGCCCGAGTTTGCCTCAAAACTCTCAACATAATTAACCAATTTGTAACAATGCGAAGCTTGTCACTTGGTTTCGGGGGGGGGGGTAATTAATGAGCGCCCACCCCGTCCCACCCACGAGGAAGAAGAGAGGCCAAGAAGAAAGCAAAAAAAAAAAGGCCCACAAAAGTCTTAGCAAGTATGAAGGAAGGAATCCCAGTTGGTGATTTCGGTTGATTGGCGTGTTTACGACAGAAGGACCATTTTGGTTGCGTCTTGTGTACCTAATGAAACGTCCAGTGAGGGTCTCGTATAAAAGCTACGCTTCACTACTGCAAGACAAATCCCACTCATATGGACTCCTGATTTTGCCCCCAGCTGTGGTGTGCGGACGCTGTGCAGGACCCAACACGGAAATGTCAGCTCAGCAGGGAGCTGGGTTCAAAAAAAAAAAAACATATACACGGAGGTATGATCAATGAAGCGCACCCTCGCGACAGCTCTTTGATTGCACATCTCACCGCCTAACGAAGCGCCGACGCCGGCAAATGTTTTTCCCCTTTTTTCTATTTTTCGTTGGCTCTCGCATATTCTCGTCCCCTTCCTAGCCTTTCGTCTACACAGCTTGGCGCGCTTGTGGTTGTATAAGAAATACGATAATTTTTTATTATTATGATTATTTTTAAATTACAGGCCTGATTCACCAATGAAATTCGTTCTTAACGCCCAACAAGTTGTCTTGTTTTGGGAACACGGGCAATGGCATGTCCTTATATGGGTATGAGAGGATGCGTCATGCCCTTATATGGGCAACGGCCCCTTATACCCACGGGTGGGTGATCGTTATCATATTTGATCAATCTGGGCATAGGAGGGTGTTTCATATCATATCTATTGATCACTCTTCAAATGATTGTTCATGATTTCTTGTCTCGAACTGAAGTGGTGGTTGTTTGTTGTCCTTATATGGTCATAGGAAAAGTAGGCACCCCCTTATATAGGTGCCTTATATTTTGGTTCTCAAAGCGAAGCACGAAGGGGCGATTCAAGTCTCACGCGGGGCAACAGGAAGGTTGGCCTAATAAGGTCACGAGAAGATTTGCATTTTCCCCAATATGCGCACGCGGCGGGGGGTGAGGGGGTTAGTCGTTTCTTTCAGGGTGTTCTCTCGAATTCGGAAGTGGAACTCAACGGGATTGATGTGAAAACAGGCTCGAAACAATCCTGCATTTAAATGTTTCTGGGAAATTTGAGGACAAAAATCATGAAAAATAAATAAATATTGTTGGACTCAATTAAGCTCGGG